AAGTAGCTTTAAGATCCAAACATTAATTATCATTCTGAATTAACATTTCTTATATATTTTTATCATACAATAATAAACCCAAACGTAGCAAATCACTTATAATCATGAACGTTCCAAAAATGTGCGTACACAAGCAGAATAAACACTTCACACCTGCCTACAAAACATATTTTGGCAGACTACATTTACTGACAGTAAACATAATTCCTTGATGTCACACACACACCATTGTATGCATGTTGAACTTCTTTCGCACAGTATGTAGCCAACCGTGCTAATCGGAGGTGCGTGGGAAGGACAACCGTTGTGTTTGCTTCAACAGCTAAGGGCCGCACAATGGTGTGATCTGTACCACACTCCATATACCAACCAGCATGCTGTTGCATGAACATCTCCTACTGGGATAATGAAGCCTGCGCACACTCACTACAATTCTATACACACAGACGTCTAACAGGGCGAATGTAGCATGCTCCATCTGCTGTGCCTTCCCGTACAAGGCTAATGCAGTATGTTCCGTACGCAACAAACTTATACCGTCACGCACAAGGATGTTGCATGCTGCTTACTCTCCCTTACCTGAATGAGATGTGCCACCACTTCCCATTTTGTCTGTACATTCCCTCCATAAACTAAAGCAGCAGCCTGCTCCATCCCTGGTGGAGCGCGAGTATCTCAACATGTCATAATAAATCTGCCTGCACTGTCTGACAATCCTGCACCTGTCCATACCACTCGTGAAGCTGCCGTTTCCCATGCAGTCCTTCTTCCTGCCTGTGCCAAGGAAATGTAGCCCATTTCTTCCTGTACCAGAGCAATGAACTCCCTCCCATGTGAGAGCAATGATGAGAGCTGCTCCCTCCTTTGCCGTTACTCTCGCTCCACACGTTAGCGCAATGAATTTACTCCCCCTCCAGTAATAACAAAGCTGTTCCAAATAAAATAATAAACAATACTTATTAGCGCTCTTCATCCATGGATCACAGAGCACTGTGCACAATATGCATAAAAACCCAAAAAGCATAACCTATCAAATGTTCTAATAATAATAAAAGGGCAAGAGCCTGAAGATAAAATGAGGTGAAAGCCTTCTTGAATAGGAATGTTTTAAGTCTAGACTTAAACAGCTCAATTGAAGCTGAATCCCCGATGTGTTTTGAAAAAGCGTTCCAAAATAGAGGGGCCATGCATGCAATAGCTCGGTCCCCCATGGAACGGAATCTCACCGCGGGAATGCAAAGGTAATCAAGATGCGCAGACCAATAAAACAATTTCCCCTCTGGCCAGCGCAATGGACCCTGTAACTTGTAACCGCAAACTATTGACCGTTTCCTCCTTAACATGCACCACTCTCTCTCTCTCTCATGCCAGAGCAATGGAGTTGCTTCCCCCCCTTACCAGATGTATCCAAGCAAGAAGGCTCACGCGCTTCTTCTCGCGTTACAAAATAGAAGCTGCTCCCGGACCCCATTCAAAATCCTTGCTCCCAACGTCCCATGCTGTACTTATGATGCTGCCTCCCGGGAGACTATGTGATGAACTGCCTCTGTGCCCCATGACAGCAATAGCATGTAAAGCCCTGGGCTCGTCCACAAGGGGCTTCCACTCTGCTGCTCCACACATCTCTTCTTCCCCGGTGCTCTCCGGTTATCAGAGTTGACCGCATACGGTGCAAAAGAAGTTTAACATCCAACATACATGCTTCTTCACTCAGTCCACCTCCTCCCATACCTCTCCTTTTCTTCCCCAGTGCTCTCCATCCAGTCCCCCTTTGTTGCTTGCCCTGTATTCCTTCGTGCACCCCGGTCATTCTTCCCTTATGCCCCTCCCCCAAACAAGTATGATTTATATATTCGCAGACTAGAAATGCGACCGCATCTCAAGACGGTGCAGAGGACAGTGGGACTGGGTGTTCTGTGGAAAGGATGTATAGTAATTCGGTAATTTAATTAGAGACAGTCTTGAGTAGAGGAAAAGAGGAAGGTATTGAGCATTGTATTGATCAGTGGCAGTCAACAGGGGGGATGGCTGGGGAGAGTTTCAGACTCTGGGGGCAGCAGAGAAGAGCGATCTCTCACATTCCCCGAAACGTGACCTATTTTTTTATTTTAAGTATGCATGTTAAAATTCTCACACACCATACGTAGTCAACCGTGCTAATAAGAGGTGCTATCGAAGATTGTGATGAGTTGTTTTTATTGTGCTTGTGCACCACTGCCGACACAGGATCATCATTTGTTTAATTTAGGGTGCCATTGGTGGTGAGATGTTATCTGCCTCGCCTGGTATGCAGGAGTCCGTGGGTTCGATCCTGACCATGACGCCTGTATACTTGGAGTTTGCATGTTATCGCCGTGGTCGAGTGGATTTATCTCCGGGTTCTCCGGTTTTTCCCTCCATATTTAGAAGCAACATGCATTTAGAGTATTTGGCTGCTATAAATTTCCACGTGATAAGCCACTTCGTTGAGCTATCACTTGTGGCCAGGTCGCTTCTGAAAAAAGTGAGCTTTGCCTGCTAAAATAAAAATAGTTTAGTTAGTTTTGACAGAGATTGCTTTCCACTCCTCTGTGCCTCACCATCATAGCACACTTCTCACTACCATAGTTGCAGGTGACCGAGGACTATAATAAGCAGGGGAAAACCCCCCATATATTCCAGGCATCAAACAGTTTTGCAGATTAAAATCCAGATATCAATCTTTAAAGCAAATACTCCCCTTCATAGCATTAAAAAGGGAAAGTTCCTGGATCAGATGGTATAACCGTTCACATCACAGAAGCAGGGCCAGTTGTTGGAACAAAATTTATGGACCTATTTACTAAACGTGTGCACAGAAATTAAATTATTTAATCATTCATCGATAAAAAAGGGAGATTAAACCAACTTGAAGAACTACAATTCGCCGCCTTATTTAGGGAGCGGTGGTGCAGTGGTTCGCACACTGCAGCGTCAACCCCTGTGGCCAGATCAATATCCAGCCAACGTCAGTGGCGAGTTATCTCTGAACGGGTTGTGGGTGGGCCCCACGTTCACCAAACTGCACTGTCCAGCGTGCTGAAGCATGGTCACACAACCTCCATGACTGACAATAGCGTGAGGAGGCCTTCATCCTGCAGTGGACTGACAATGTGGTTGTGATGTAGCTCTCTTCACGTGTATACCAACTGCTCACGTGAATCACTGAGACCAGAATTACAAATTAGAGGTCAGAAAACCGTGAGAGGAAGCTGGATTTCGGAAGTGTTTTTCTACCATCGATCACCCATTCCTGGGATTCTGAAAGATACTAATATATAAAAAAAACAATTATGTGTAGCATTGTTTGACTATGTAAAAAAGCAATTGGGACTAGACGTAGATGCGGCCATTCAAGGTTTCACAAACCTCGATTGCATGAAGAGCGTGATAAACGCCAACACAACACGTTCGACAATAACACGGTAACCTTAAAAGTAAACATACATAATAGGCAACGTTCCGGGCAACGGCCCATCCTCACAGCACGTAACAAAACACAAATTTCGAAGGGGACCCAGGCAAGGATCACATTTCGCAACTTATTCAGTGACACGAGTCTTCCAAAAAATGTATTGGGAGGAATGTCGCCAACCAGTTAAACAAACGTTCACCATCTGTGATTTGCTAAACGACACGTCATTGTATCAACCAGCGGCAAAGAACAACGACAACATGATTTAACCACGTAATAAAGAGGCCTGCAAAAGTTGAGCTCAACATAAATAGGGTGCGAAATAAATCCTTGCTGTCAAGTAGAACAAGGATCACAAACCCAATGAAGATACTGTCGGGGCAACACGAGTGGACCACACAGCGAGCGTGTGCTTACCTGTTTACTTATGGCAGCTATTATCGATGGTGTGCCCGGATTAAAATTATGAATTAAAGAGGTTGACGTGGGTTGACGCTATTTTGGAAAAGTGACCTTGGTAATGAACAGCAAACACAGCAATGCGCCGAAAACACGAGCATGCGTTTCACCATCAATGCGCATGCAAAGAAGGCCTACTTATGACAAACGGGTGAGAAACAAGGGATTAGCATTGGAAATAATGCGACAAAAACGTTGCGAAAGTGTGAAATGTAGCTATTTTGCACGATTGTGGATTGCACCGAGCAACACGAAGAAGAGCGCACGGATCGCGAGAGACATTCTCCGTGTAGCCTTAACAGACTGTTGGGGCAAGTGCTGTAAGCGAGCACTTATGAAGGTCGACACGGCACACGAGGGGGTGGGTGGCTTACACCACGCAACGCCACCTTTGTCTCCCCCAGTGGCGACAATTTTACACACCGCACCAAGGAAATCATTTGAGGCTGAGTCGACGTAGGGGAGGCCAAGGACTGGTTCAGATAATCGTCACCTGTGTTGGCCGTTTGCGGGAATCGAACTCGGGTCGCCGGGTTCTTTTTGCGCAGCGTGCTAACCGCTGCACCACCGCTCCCTCCAATACACACAGGTTAGCGACATCACATTGAACCATGAGGAAAAAGTGAGCGGGTTCAGGCAGAACACGTCACGGGCAAGACATTGACGAGGAGGTGGCAGCAGCCAAAGGAAGCAGAACAGCCGAGAGAGGGCAGCTGCCGCGGAGATGGAGCGACGCGATCAACTGATGAGTGCAGCAGCTGAATGGATGCCGAGGGATGATTATGTCCTATCGTGCTTGCCCCCGTGATCGCGTGCTTTATACTTTCTCACCCCCGAGTGCCCCTCATGCTTTCAACAACATGCTCTCCGCGCTCCTACCAATCTCCCCGAGTGTTTCTCTCCCCGTGCTGCTGGTGAAACTCCGTGTACCCACCCACCCATGACTAATCACCGCATCCTTCCTCCATGCCTCTACATCTGTGAAAAATAGCTTTATAGCTCATCGTATTCCTGCAGTATAAACATTCTGATGCGATTACCCATATGCCTGCCCGGTATTTCCAGCGCGATCCCTCACGCTTCTCGACTCTCCCCTCACGCTTCTCACCGCTCACGGGGGCCACGCGTGCTCCATGCCTCCGCGCTCTGTGGGTGGCGGCAGAAACGCGGCGGCCGCGGAGGAGTCGAGAGGACAGCGACAAGAATCGGGCAGCGTGTGCCCGGGTACCGTTGCGGCCGCGCCAACTCGTAGTAGTCGCACTCAAAAGTCAGAGAGATAGGCGGCAGCAAAGAGGAGAGAAGAGAGAGGGGGAAAGGCACAGGGGAACCCCTCGGGGAGCGAGACGGGTACCGCGCGTATGCGGCGCGGCGCTCCCACCACTGTACGCGGTGGAGACTCTTCCCCACCAACGCCTACGCGCCTGATGATTGGTCAACGAAGCGCGCGCCCTCCGCCAAGACGCCTCTTGATTGGTCGACGAGACCCGTGCGGGTTGACAGCTTGAAAGGATTGGGGGGAGGAGGCGGGGCTATAAGGAGAGAGGGCGGGGCTACATGGTGTTAAGGGCGTGGCTAAAGTTAAAAGAGGCGTGGGCTAGACAAATGGGGCGGAGAAAGAAACAGTGGGTGGTGCTACAGGGTAACGGGGGGGGGGGGGCAGTTAAATATGGGGACGTCACACATCCGGCCCTATGTACGACGTCTCTTCCGTCGCACGCTTGCTGGTCGGCCATGTTGGTAAGGGACGGCCGAGGCGGCTCGTGTCGTGCCCGATGCTGTGTTCCGCACTCTGTTCCGTCAATTCGGCGTGGCCGCACGCGTTTCAGGTGCGCTAGAACGTTGCAATTAATACAGCGGAGTCTTCTCAATGGTAAGACGGTTGTTCGGTGTATTTAACGGCACTCGTCTTCCCTTAACCTATCCATTGCTGTTTTTTTTCATGGATTTTCTGTTTGCACAGTCACATAGTCACTTTAAGATGTTTTTCTTGTTCGTGTTTTTGTTTGTTGTGGTTGCACCCGATTCAAGAGCCGAATGGCTCACAGAGCTATACCAAAATAAATAAACTGAAAAAAAAACTGCTGGATGAATGCCTCACCCCCCCCCTCCCCCATCACTCAAGAGGTCGATACAATTAGGGTCAACGTGTTGTGTCAAGTCCACTGGTTATTCCTGTGCAGAGACAGGACTCCGTATCAACGTGGCATTTTTAAAATAACGGACACGTACAGCACTGCACGGGAGTCGCGCTGACATTGTACATTGCAACGTGATGGAGCGGTGGCGCATTGCGCTGTGAAGCCGGGTAACCAGGCCACGTCTGTCATCAGTGGCGAGCGATGATCTACTCACCCAGACCTGGGACACCCAGAATAAGAATATGTATTTATACTGGAGGAATCCTATGAGCTATAAATCTATTTTCACATGCCTAGGAAGGGCGGGCGAAAACGTTACAACAAACAATACAAAAACATGACAGGAATGCAAAGTATAGGAAAGGTAAGGAAATCAATAAATTATGGTCAAACAAACACGATGACCGAAAGGTGTGGGATGCCTTCATTAAGTAGCGCATTAATCAAAGAATGGATATTAATAATTATTAACAATGAATACTTTTAAGCGGAGGCAAGGGTTTCACCACCCATATAGAATAACATCCATCTCCCCTCATGGGCCCTTGGTATGGCAGCAGCATTTGTTCAAGCCGCGAGCCCTGGGCTGGTTTTCATTTATCACAACGTCATTAGCCGGTTTTTTGTGTTTAAAACATGCTTGTAATGGGTTGCTGGCCTGTTTGTGTGGATTACATTTTAAAAAGTTGATTTCCTCCCACATGCAAAATACAGCAACCATCAATGAATATCATAAAGTGGAGTTAATGGGAAATATCTGTGTATGCAGCACAGGGTGGAAGTGATGGCAGGAATATTTGTCACCAGATGTGTTTATAGAAGATTGACAGTTGTCCACGTACAACCGTCACTTAGAGACATTGGGTATTTATTTTTTGGGACACCAAATGCCATAAGATCTCTTAATTATCACTGAGTTCTATTTTGTGTTTAAATAACTTCGAACTGAAAACAGCTGCCTTGTTGACCAAATAAAGTCTAACCAGTGACTAGGTGACTTAAACTCAAGGTTCAAGTCCGTACCAGGGCTCATCAAGATGTGATCCAGTTCAGGCATTTCTTACTCCCCTGTTACCAAATGACATTAAAATGTATTCATAAAAAAATGTGTGCTTAGTATAATTACAGATGCTTAAATAAGGATGACTAATTACGAAAAAAACTATCGTTTAGCTACCCTAGGAGAGTTGTGTAGCTCAATGCCACTATCTCAATGTTTGGATAGTTGGGTGGTTGGTGCATTTGTCACTTAGCCAATCTGCATGGGTTCGATGGTTCAAATCCCACCAGGGCATAGGCAAAGGAATGCCATCTGCTGTAGTATTAACATTGAAGGCCCCTTGACATTTCACGTTATTACTGTAGTTCATTCCATGCCGCAGTTACGTCCATATGTAAACTTGAACAGTTATCAAGAACAAATTTGTGAATGCAGTAAAAGTAGCCCAGGTTTCTCTTGCAAGTGGATACTGCATGGCACCAAACGAAATACAGGAGTTAATTACTGTGTAGGTTTTTGTGGTTATGCTGTATAGTGGTCCGATATTTTTTTCTGGTGGCACCGGGTGTTCTCAGAAAAGCTCCCAGCATGTGGAGCGATCGTTGGACATAGCGCTGAGCAACACGCAGTACAATCTGAAATCGTATTTGAGAGCTACAGTGGCGAAATATGGACTACCTCTCCAGGTGTACAGGAGGTCGTGGGTTTGATCCCGACCCTGACGCATGTATATTTGGAGTTTGCATGTTCTCCCTGTAGTCGAGTGGATTTTTCTCCGGGTCCTCTGGTTTTTCACTCCACATTTATAAACGCGAGTTTAGAGTATTTGGCTGCTATAAATTCCCACGTGATAAGCCACTTCGTTGAGCTATCATTTGTGGCCAGATCGCTTCTGAAAAAGAGCTATATAGCTCAGTGGGCCTTACCTGGTTTAATAAAATGCTTTTGTTAAAATAATTAATGTATTGATTTAATTACAGGTTAAACGCGCATCGATCGTACACAGCCATGTGCAGTGATGAAGGACACCGTGGCCACGATAACCTGGGCAGCTGTGGCTCCACGCTGCACTCGCTAGTGTCGGGGCGTGCGAAAGCGGTGGCGGTGCGCTACGACGACGGGGAGGCTGTGCTGCAGGTGACGTATGGCGAGCTGTGCCAGCAGGCCGCGCAGGTGTGTGCCGAGCTGCTCGAGCTCTTGCGTGAAGATCCGAGCCCGGTGGTCGGACTGTTCACGGATCCTGTGCTTCAACTTCCCGCTTGTATCCTGGGGTGAGCAAGGCTTCTTCGCCTCTAGCCACGTGATCTAAGATGCACACACATATCGTCAAGACAAACGAGCAAATATTCATTCAGGGGTGACTGGGCTCAAATACCATGTCAGAACACGGAGCCAGCACTGCAGATTTCCTGGGTTCGAATCTGATCTGGCCAGCCACTTGTGATTGAGCTGGATTCTCAAGTACAGTGAATTGATGGTTTCAGCTTGGTCACCGTTATATCTGCACAAACTCCCACTGAGGAGTATGAAAAACAGTATTTTGCAGAGAATGTTAAAGGCATACTCTTAGAGTGGATAGAGAAGCCCATTGAAGGGAATTCAGAAATAGTTCTGTGATGTCATCTGCCATGATCAATCTTTGATGTGTTTTTGCAGCCAGCCTGGTTTACTTATATTGTGCATGTGATATAACTATGCAGGGAATTATTAAACATCCCAGTGCAGGACCCTCTTTAAAAAAAGTCGTAATACTGTACTGATTGATGCTTCCGAGGTTAGTAATTATTATAATTGTACCATAGCACGCTGCTTTCAATTTTTTTTCTTCCGTTTTACAAGGTATAAGTTTCCTCTTCATTAAAATGTCAAACTGTGAAATAATCTATTCATCAGCCTGTGCTACATTTGTACATTTTTAATTATTATTTATATTATCTAGTTGACAGCATGTTAATGAAGCACATCTATTTTACAAATGAAAGCTCATGAAAATAGAGGTTTGTAACAAAGGGAGGTAATATATTGCAGATAACCTTTTTGGAAAAAAATGTAGAAGTAATATAAACAGCAAGGTTAATTAATTTTTCAATGTTATGGTGTTATCGAAGACGAAGCATTTACAATATCATAAAGTTGAAATTGCTAAATATATTCTCTAAAATGTATTGCTGGATGATTTAGATGACGGGAATAGCAATGTTCCTTTGTGATTATCAGCATACACGCTCCCAATGCATCTATGTGCATGACTACCAGTCACTGACTTAACGTATTTCATTGATGAGATTGTAATGTGCAAGTGACTCAAAAGAAGTTCCTTTGTTGCATGACGCACCTTGTTATGCACAACTCCCGCAATTTTCACTGAGTCGCCTGCAATAATCATTGTCGGTGGTGGCGGCGTTTGCATGATGCCTCTTTTGTGTGCGAAAGCACTCAAGGGGCCCAGCAGCAGGCTGCTGTCTGCTAACAGGTGTGCCCTTCATGTGGGATGTGTGATTGGGTTTCCATTTACTGTAGTGCGGCACTTTGTGGTTTTGGAGTAAATAAAGATAGACTGTCACGGAGCCTAGTTTGCGCACATTGTGTTCCATATGTGACATTTAGCAACCGCACACTTGTAAAAAATATCGTACCAAAACTTTTGACAAAGTTATACTGAGAATAGGTTTTCTCCTTTTTTCTGGCAACAAAACAGGTGTTAAGATGTTAAAACACCAAACTGAAACCTTTTACAAGGAATCATGTGTGCATTAACCACAATACTTGTGGTCAGAATGCAAACAAAAAACACTCTGATAATATATGCATTGTCTTTGAAACTGATTGGTCCACACCAGAGACAGCTTTCTTTGGAGCCTAGTCTCAAATAGTCTCAAATGGTGTCTAACACCATAGTCTCAAATGGTGTCTAACACCATTTGAGACTATTTGAGACTATGCTCCAAAGAAAGCTGTCTCTGGTGTGGTCTGACCACAAGTATTGTGGTTGGGAAGCGGCCAGGCCATCGGTCACCGTGAAAAATATTCGACGCCCACCAGTAAATACTTATTCCCACGAGGGGTGGTAGGAAATGGACCAATGATATCAAGAGCAACCAGCTAATTTATGCGGGAAACTCGGATGGATTGCAACAGGGTTTAGACGGGGGTTTCCACCACGTGCACTGCACACACACCTTCAATACATTAGCGACATCTTCCACCATGCCGGGCCAGAAGAAGTCGAGCTTAAGCGTGGCTAGCGTCTTATGCACACCCAGGTGCAACAGTCGCTCGTGCATCGCCCAAATGATTTTACCCCGCAGCGCAGTGGGCACGACAA